GGCCTGCCTTTGCCAAAATCTGACAAACACTTCTCCCAATCATTACTAATTGAATGTTTTTTAGACCATTCAAATTGGGTGCTCCGTTCTCTCAAAAAACTCGATTTCTATTTTCTGCACACTTTGCTCTTTATCTCCGAAACTGCTGGACCCGCCTTTGCCAAAAACTAATCAGTCTCCCTATCAATAGGTATCGAATGTTTTTTGAACCATTCAAATCGGTTGATCCGTGCGCCCGAAAACGTGACTGGAAATTTGTATCCGTACATACATACATACACACACACAAATCCATTTTTTCTGAGGTATGCCAAAATGTTCAGAAACCTTCAAAACGTCGAGAAATGTAAACATTTTCAATTTCGATCATAATTGTGTTTTTATATGCCGCTGTGTCGCTGCCATACGGAACGGCGTGCCGCCTAGTAGTATGTGCTACTGAACGAACCAGGCACAACAACATACTTTAAAATTTTTCAGTCATTATATGAATAAAAATATATTTGAAAATTACAAATTACACCTCAAAATAACTAAAAATTAGAATGAAATTAGTATTTTTAATAGTTTAACTCACACTGATAAGCCTTGAAGCAAAGGTCCTCGTCATGTGGATGTTGTCTATAAACGACAGCCGTATACACGTAGTAGCCAAGGTGTTAAACAATTGTAATTTTTAAATTAATTAACTCTCCGTCGGTCGGTTATTTATTTACCTTCGAACGGTCTGAGTAGTCTGGCTGGACCACACATTTTGTCGTCCTGATTTTTTCATTGATCGACAGCTAATGAAATTTTAGAAAAAGTCCAGAAATTTCAAGTCGATAGGATTTCTAAAACGTAAAAAAATCTGTAGATTTATATATAAAACGTCACAAAACGTATAAACAAAAATAAATATTTGTTTTTATTTCGACGCATTGGCTGTTTTACTCATGTTTTAGCATATCAATATGTTTCATTGTCGAACAAAAAACCTCATTCTCATATTAATAAAAACTAGTTGGTATTGGTATTTAGCCTTGAGGCAAGTTACATGAACTTCCCGATATGTGTAAATAATCGACTTAATCAATAAAAAATAAATTAATTTATGAGTGGATTTATTACACATAATTGAAAACGAACGAACACGTTAATTCGGAGTATTTTCAAAAAGCAACTTTTCAAAAATCAACATTTATTATATTTGAACCAGTTTCCGTAGGATTTTAATGGTTTAGTATGTTTATTAAGACTAAGTACTATATCATATACCAAGTAAATCGTCTAATTAATTTTAGCTAACGTCAAAAAAACTACTCATTTTCTCAAACTTTGATGAATTTTTAAAATTAAACTACTTGTCGTAAGGCCGTAATATTACAGTAAGTTCTATAAGACCATGATATATATCGCTAAAAAAATCCATAAAAATCGGCTTAAAATTTTTTTTCAACAGTTATTTACAAGAAAACGGCTCGGTAGATTTTCACCTAAAACTAATCAGTACCATTGCCAACTAATATCTTTCGAACAGTTTTTGATTTTTTAAAATCGGTTCGGTAGGATAAGCTTAAATGTGAACGAAAAGTTTAACACTTTTTTTCAAATTACAAAGAAAACGGCTTGGCAGATCGTCGCACAAAACTGACAGATCCTCGTCGAGATACATCGAATTATTGAAATCGACCCAGCCGTTTTCGAGAAAACGTCGATTTACGGCAAAAAATCTGTTCACATACACACACACACATACTTTTTCCAAATTTGGTTTCATTCGATTCAGAATGGCTTGACAACGTCGAGAAAACATAAAATTAGCGAATCGGATTTTTTGATGAAAACATAAACTTCTCCTTCGGGAAGTTGATAAAACCTCGAATTAATAAAATTTATATTTCAAAGGTCGACAGATTTTATGATTTTGTACCTATTTAAAAATATGTTCTTTAAAATTAATACCGTCTCCTATTAACAATTTATAAATTCCAGGTGATACAGTATTAGCCGAAATGCCACCGACCGACAATCAATCGTGCCCGTTAGATAATCAGCATATAGTGGACGCTGTGTCATTTTTCTACAGTCCTCAGCCACCTTCAGAAGACCCAGAAGATCTTCGAAAACGTTATATAGCCTTCATGACCGAAAAACACTTCGGTGCCCCGTCATTTCTTTTTGCTTTGTTATGTAGCAGGCACTCTCCTACATTCGCTTATAGGTAGGCTTTAATAATTATTAATATTTATTGGTGAATTATTTTATTCTGAAAATTTTAGCTTCCCTATTTTTGTTTATGAATTTAATATGTTTTATTAACACATTATTAGTTATTTATTAAAATCAAATTATACCTTAAATCTTATTATAATTATAAATTGTTATTCCTACTTATATTAATGTTATTATTGTTTTTAAACTTAAGAGTCCTATAAGCTGTTCTGCTGATATACATAATTTAAGTTATAATTTTGATTTTTTTTTGTTAAAAATGATGCCTGAATTAGGTAAAAAAATCAGACATCATTTTTAAATTCTTGAAATGTGTAATCTTCACTCTAACAGAAAAAACAGCAATATTGTAAAAAATTATATAAATGATAAGAAATTTTTAATCAAATTGCCATTTCTTTTTCGTGGCATCATAACATCACAATAAATAATTTTGATTTCGATATTTATCTACTGATTTTTGATTATTATAGGTTTGACTTAAAACCAAGATCGGTGGCTGTAACGTCAGGACTTCCAGAATGGCTTGGTGTTCCCCATAGGCTCGATTTAGCCTTTGTATGGGGCGTCCCTTATTGGGGACTGCTCTCAGATGGGACGCCATGGGATAGCGCAGACAAAAGAGTCTCAGATATTGTTATGATATTTTGGGCAAACTTTATTAAATACACTAACCCATCGAAAGTGGGTGTTTATATCCGATGGGATAACTTTACATCAAAATTTCCTGGATTTCTAGTCATTGATAGAAGTTTCAATATGAGCCATTCGGCAACTATGAACTATAAGGTATACTTTTATACTCTTACGATTAGTTAATATGCAAAAATATGTTATCAAATAAATATTGAGTATACTTAGTTCAATTTCGTGCATTAAAATAAGAAAATACTAACTTAAGTTAAATACTAAAGTTACTAAATAATTATTTAGTAACTGATAAAAATTCCTTATTATTAGTGGATATTATATAAGGGTCAAATTTTTAATTTACGATTTGAATTTTATTTAATTTTAAAAGTTTTGAACATCGTTAAAATAATTAAAAATTAAACGAAATTTAAATTCAAATCATACTGAGAAAAATTCTTTTGTGATAAATAATTGTATTTTTTTTGTTTATGTTGTAACGCTTACCATACAATATTTTTATTAAGGTATAAGGTTTGGTCAGGTGACCTCTGACTTGTTAATTAGGATAACATCAAGCTTTTCAATATTTTTCCACCAAACGAAACCTAGGGCTAAACGTATGGCTTTTAAATAAACTGATATACACAAAAAATAATAAAACTTTTATTGCTGCATCCCCCTATCATTAGAACTAAACTCATAAAATATTCGTATACATCGTGCCTTCCGATTTATAATAAGATATGGATTTATTGTCCACAATACTCTATTATATTTAATTAATTCCAAATAATTTTTATTTCAGGCCTTTGAATTCTGGAATGAATATTTTCCAAAAGTGATCGATGTTTCTGCAAACTGCTGCAATATGACTGATATTGCTTCAACAAATTTCGAATTATGTAACGCATCAATATTAAGTGGATTACTGATTTGCAGTTTAATAACATTTCTATTCAAGTATGGTTAAATTGTAAATGAAATAAATATTGTAAACAATCTTATGTAAATATTAGCAATAAATTTAGATAATATGAATTTATATGGTTAAACTGTAATTCGGCAATTAATTACATAGATTTCGGATTATTTAGATATGACTTGATGTACTTACTCAGGTTTTGTTCACTTGTTGAATATGAAGTCTCCTTCTCATTCATTGAATATAAATATTATCCACAGATATATCAAAATCTCTAGGCTTTCGAACAAATTAGTCGAAACAACAGCACTGCCCGAAAATACAAAACTAAAAATTATTTCAACTTCACTTACAGTAATTATTTATCATTATTTATAGCAAATAATATAATACATATCACTGAGACTACATAATTTAATCATTTTTCGAAATTTTGCACGGTCGGTCAAAAACTGCTTGAAGAACGGGACCACTTTGCATTTTTTTTAGCCAAATGCTATAAGGTTTAGCCTTTAAAATAGTGTCTTTAACAAACATATACCAAAAATATGAATAAATATTTCTTTAGAATTCGTACTAAATTCGAACGTATAGTCCTTTACGTTCGAACGTTAAATGCATTATTACGAAATGTTATAATTAACTCACGATGTGAAATAACACAAAAATTAATGAGAATTTGTATCATATTTATAGGAGCACTTACTACTACAAAACCGGCAATTGAATTAAATTATTTTTGAACATTTGATATTGCTGTTGCGAACATTACGCAATCTGCCGGATTTAATATAAAACATACCAAAATCAAGAAATAAATTCAACAGACGTCGAAATTGTGAATCTAAACAAATTCTTGGAAAAAAAATTGCAAACTCTTTGATAGTTACCAATTTTCATTAGCCTTGATTATTTTTAAATGGATATTTCTCAAATAAATTGGTCATAATTAGCAATTAATAACAAATTTGTTGAAGCAATTTTGGAAATTCAAAATGTTTAAAATTTACAGTTTAAATTAATCCTGCACTTTTCTCAAATGAGTTGAATATATTCTTATTGTTAGTCAGACCAACAAATCTTTTATGTTATTAACCTATAATTTAGACTAGGACTAGATTGTTTAAATGCCAAACACTTTCGATTAAAACAATTTCAATTAATAAAATATATATGATTTTGTATAAAGAATTTCATAATTTAAAAAATATTTTATTATTAATAAATACATCCATTTTATATAAAAAAACAATACTATTTACTGTGTTCCAGTAGATAATAAAGCTAAAAGTCCACCTGCCGCTCCAACTGAGAGAACATAGTTACTATATAAAACAGTCAAGGAATGTTTTTAGTAGTTCTGTAAATATTTTATTGAAGAGGGATTCAAAACACTATATTCGATCTAATATTTGGCATTCAATAAATTTGAAGAACTATTTGATCTCAAGATTATCATTAAGTAGCTGTGTGTATATTTTAGCAAAAAATTGATATTATTGCAATTATACAACATGCCACTAAACTTACATTAATATTTCTTATATAGAAAAATACAAATAAACAGTTCTAACTCTGTTTTCATTTTTTAATAAAATCAGTATCTTTTCATCTTAATAAAATGAAAGCTTAATTTACTTTTTATGATAACTGATGACAATTTTTATCATTATTAGGATGCATTGAATAGTTAAAAAGGAATTTTTTTAGCCTGCACTGATTTTCATCACGTGATAATAGCGAGAATATATGAACACATCACACACATTAAATTAAATGTGACAAATTCTTTTCAAAGGCAAATGTGGTTATTAAATTGCAAGAACTGTTAAAATACACATGTTTTTATTTGTAATAATTTGTTTGTAATAATACAAATCTAAAGCTTACCAATCAAATTTTTATATAGACGCAAATAAATATATTTTTAAAGGATACACTGCAGGTGTGAATGACCTCAACAAATAGAAGCTGCTGAAAATTACGAGCACCAAGAAAAGAGCATTGTTGTAGAAAATTGAAAAAGTAGTTGCTTCGTAATCAGCAACTTCATTCTTCTTCCACAGAATTCTGTAAATATTACACATTATGGTCTTTCGCTTATAAAACACTTATATCACTAAACTTTCAAATTTCTTACGATCACCATAATAATTGACAATTATTAGTGCCTAATAAGTTTCAAAACACTAATTAAAACCTTAAAGTTCTTTAGGAATATCATTTATAACCCAAAGTTATGAGCAAACACTGTTGTAGTTAAATTTTCATATTAAGTATGTAACAGTCTATTTTATTATGCGGACTTCTGTCCAGTCTGGACTAATTCTAATGAAACTACATATTTGGACATCAACATTTCCAAATTAAGTACTTCTTATTTAAGAATTTATTGAAAATTAACTAAGAGAAGCAAGAAAATGTTGTGATTTTTTATATAAAAGATAAGAAGAATGTATGATACATATTTAGACTTTTAAAATAATTTACGGTTTAAGTAATTCTATGTAATTACCTTTCATCTTTTTCTTTCTTGCTCATTTTTTTATCTTCAGCCAATTTTTTAGTCATTTCTCTAACTACTGCATCTTCTCTCTTCACTGCAACTTTATGTTTAAGCTGGAACTTTGTGTTACAATAAGCCATAGCGAGAAGATATGTGCTTCCAGCAGTTACTAAGGCAAACCATACTAACGATGAAGTTAAATCTAGCATATGAATTCTCCAAAATAACCCTGAATAAAATATATGATTTATGAAAATGCATGTAAAAGATTTTTCAAATATATTTGTATTAAAGTACACTAATAAAAGTTTTATACTTACAAATGGGAATTGATGAAATTATGAAAGCATTTCCATAAAATAAGGCAGAAGATTTCGTTGACACATTTCTGCTGAAATCTTGCAACAATAATTCTTCTTCCTTAGTAAAAGCAGCTTTGTTCGCTTGTTTATTTGACATTTTGATGGCAAATTTTATAATGTTTCACTTAAGAGAACTACTAGTACACACAAGTTTACTGTAAAATTCGAAAGCGGTGTAAAGAAAATTTCGTGGCGCTACACGACTTGCATACGTGTATCCAAACGGAGAAATGTCACACATTAAGTTCTAAATGAAAGCACTAGATGGCTCATAAACCAGGATTGTCCTCTAATTCGATACACATGGGAAACACCATGGAAACACGTAAGCAAAAACGAATATTTTAAAACAGTTTTTGATTTTCATGATTGATACAATTTATGTTAAATAGAGGTAATGAGTTAATCATAAAATTGAAGGAAAAAGCTATGCTAAATGATGGTGTGTCATCATACATTTCCCGAGCGTACAAATTAAGCATTTGTTGTTGAAAAAGCTATTTGTTTATTAATCTATGGTCATAGATAAGTAAACATAAATGTCTATGGCCTTTATATCTTTATGGCAGAACAAAATCCGCGTTCAGAAGGGTTAATTAGAGGTCTTATGGTAGTCGCAAATTTAGCGCTAGTGAGCCGATGAAAAAGTATTATCAAATGTTTTATGCTGTTTATCAGTTGACAAAATGGTGATTCTTGTTCGTTTGTGTTTGTACATTTGTTAACAAAATTTCATTATGAATTGCTCTGAAATGCATAGCTCTTTGACGATATTAATGGAACAGCTTCAAACTCAGATGCAGGACCGGGCCCTTCTATCTCAGTGCAAAATCCGCATTCACAAACCGTGTTTAAAGTATCGATATCTAGGTGAGAATTTGGCGCTAGTGAGCCGATATCAAATGACAGTTTGTTAATCCTAGACAATATACTAATTGTTGTTAATTCTCTAGCATCGATCTGGAATGTTATTGTGAGGATAAATACTGCGTAGTGCATTGGCAAAAAATCAAAAATGAATTAAAATTGAAATACTTTATATTGACGACATAAAAATATTAAAATATATAAATCTTTTATATTTTATATTGTTTTATACATTGTTTAATATAATTGTTTTTATACAATTATTGTTTTTATTCGGCGTGTTGAATTTTTCATTATAACTAATGTATATATTTATATACAAAATTTAAATAAATTTCGATTTTTAATAAATATTTCCATATACAGGATTAGTCGAGACGCGCGATAACGATGAGCCTTATCTATTATTATCTATGGTAGAATTCATAGAATATCCATCTTAATTATATTGTCTAGGGCATTGATCCATCCTATCCATACGATATACTGTTTTAATGATTACAAAATTCTGCTCTACTGTCATATTTAAAAACTTTGTTTATTAATATAATATTTATGACTAGAGTAACCAAGTTACCATTTTCATGAATATTACAAAAAATTCGAGATAATTGATTATTGTTGAAAAGAAAATAATTTTCTTCTAAAAAAAACTATATAACATTGAGGTTAACTGTGTTCGATCGGTGTTTATTGAATTGCAATTAATTCAAAAGCAATAATTATTTCATGGGAAGAAAGAAAAGAGCTTAATCGCCCTAATATGAATATAAACAGTTTAATGTTTGTGAACAATATTAAAGCGTTCAGGAGTTTTCATAAGTTATACAATTACAATGCAACAATAAAGAATCCGCTAATAGAAGTAACTCGTTTATTGGCTACCAAGTCTGTGAATATATTTAATCGACAAACTAAATTTTTACAAAGAGAAAGAGCTGCATTCGATGAGAATGTGCATGTTTATGATTACTTAAAAGAGGAAGTTGGCTATAGACTTTCTGATCGTATATTTGATATTAAAAAAACTTTTAATGTTGCTGTGGACTTTGGTAAGTAAACGTTTAAAATTTTTAATTATCATGTGAATATATATAATTCATTTTTAATTGTAGGCTGTGGTAGAGGATATATTTCAAAAAATGTGTCTCATGACAATATCGAAAAGCTTATAATGTGTGATATGAGTTCAAAAATGCTAGACCAGGCCCATTGTGCGGAAGGGCTAGTGACATCAAAACATACTTTGCAGGATGATTATTTGCATGTATAAATGTATATGATCAAGTTTTTCATAAATTATTAACCTAAAATGTGAAAATGACTATTTTTTTTATAATCATATTATAGTTTGAAGAATCAAGCATTGATCTTGTCTTATCGAGTATGTATTTGCACTGGATAAATGATTTACCAGGATGTTTTAAATCAATTTTAAAAAGTCTAAAACCTGATGGAGTTTTTATGGCAGCCCTATTAGGAGGTGATACTTTATATGAACTAAGGTAAATAAGAATATCATCCTTACAATTAGTCCTTACACATATAAATACAAAAGCATTTTTGTTATGCTTTTTTTAAAAAAAATCCTGCATTTCCATTCCTCTTGTAGCTTGATG